CATACCCGTGTCCCTCAGCTGGGGCTGGCACGGCCACCCAGGTGTGCCCGTGTCCCTCAGGTGGGGCAGCAGGGGCACCCAGGTTTGCCCGTGTCCCTCAAGTGGGCTGCAGGGCCCCCCCCATGCCCGCGTCCCTCAGCTGGGGCTGGCACGGCCACCCAGGTGTGCCCGTGTCCCCCAGGTGGGGCTGCAGGGCTCCCCCCCATGCCCGTGTCCCTCAGCTGGGGCTGGCACGGCCACCCAGGTGTGCCCGTGTCCCCCAGGTGGGGCTGCAGGACCCCCCCCATGCCCGTGTCCCTCAGCTGGGGCTGGCACGGCCACCCAGGTGTGCCCGTGTCCCCCAGGTGGGGCTGCAGGGGCACCCAGGTGTGCCCGTGTTCCTCAGGTGGGCTGCAGGGCCCCCCCCATGCCCGTGTCCCTCAGCTGGGGCTGGCACGGCCACCCAGGTGTGCCCATGTCCCCCAGGTGGGCAGCAGGGTCCCCCTCCCCTCCCAGGCGATGCTGTGGCCCCACGATTCGGCCATCCCACAGCTCCTGTGCCAGGGGAATGTGCCAGGGGACAGCGGTGCCAGGGACAGGTGACAGCTCTGGGGGTCACCTGGAGGGGTTCCGGGGCTTCTCCCAGTGCTGAAGGTGGGAGCTGGGAGGGGTTTGGGCCACCTGGAGTGCCAGGACAGGGGAGAACGGGGGGTTTGGGGAAGGAATCCAGCTGTGGGGGTCTCTGGGGTCCCTCCCCACCCAGCCCACCGGGGAATTCCGGGTGCCAGGGACGTCACCATGGAGAAGAACTCCTCGCTGCAGCTGGGCTGGAAGTTGAGGCGGGCGAAGGACACAAGGACCCCGCAGAGCTGGGGCAGGGACAGGCTCTCCGTGTTGTCCAGGCAGTACTGTGGGGAAAACGGGAACGTGGGATGTCAAAACAGGAACAGGAGAGCTTGGACACGTCAGCCACAGACACCTCCAGGTGGGGAAAGCAGAGTGGGGAACCTTGGGACTTTCTCCAGGGACGAGGGCAGGCTCTGAAACACCCCACGTGGGTGGGAAAGAGCAGGGGGATCAACCTGGAAGGAACTGGGACATGAGGGAGAAGAGCAGCAAGGACAAGTTGGAAACATCAGCAGGAACCATGCTGGGTGGGACACCAGGGGTGAGGGATCCCTGGGATCTCCTCCAGCTGCAAGGGCAGGCCTGGAATGTCTCAGCTTGGATGGGGATGGGCAGAGAGGGGAACTGGGCCAGAACTGGGCCAGAAGCAGCACCAGCAGTCACAGCTGGAGGGTCTGGATGGAGCCAAATGCAGCAGGAAATGATCCCTGATTCCCACTGGGAATGGGGACAGGGAGGGGACAGGCAGGGGACCCTGCTCTGCCCGGCTCCTGCTGGGACAGGGGACAAAGCCCCGCTCAGGTGAGTGTCCCCTGCCTCCCCCGTGGCCAGCGAGGTGCCCCCGTGTCCCCAGGCCTCACCTGAGCCATGGCCTCGGCCAGGGGCCGGCTGAGCCAGCGCAGGCTGGCGAAGGAGCGGGCGCAGCGCAGCAGCTGGGCCGGGCTCAGGCTGCCCACGTGAGGCTGCAGCTCCAGGGCCAGGCGGTGCAGCACCTGCGGCTGCTGGAAGCTCAGCTTACCTGTGCCAAGGGGGGACGGCTCAGCACGGGGGGCTCCCAGCACCTCTGTCCCCCCCGGAGCACAGGTGACAGCTGGGGACGGTCACCCGCAGAGGAGAAGCTCCAGGGACACCTCGGAGCCTGAAGGGGCTCCAGGGGAGCTGGGGAGGGACTGGGCACACCCGGGCTGATGGAAGGGCCCCATGTGAGCTCCCAGGGATGTGGGACACCTGGAATGCCAGGACACCTGGAACGGCCTGCTGGACGTCCCTGCTCCACCCCTGGAGCACAGAGCTGACCCGCAGGGCCCCCTGCTCCCACCCAGGACGGGACAACCCCCGGGGAACTGCTGCTCGGGCCCACCTGGCCGGGAGAGGAAAATTTGGGACCCCAAAGCTGGCCTGGCCCCCCGGGACAGGGACAGGGAGGCAGGGCTGGTCCCCAGCCCCGCGGGGCACTCACTGAAGGCGAAGAGCAGGTCGGTGAGCACGGGCACGGGCAGCTCGGCGGGTTTCTGCAGCAGGTGGTAGCACAGCGCCCGCAGCAGGGGCACGCAGCGGCGCTGCTGCAGCGCCAGCGCCAGCGCCACGCGGCGCAGCTCGTCGGGGTCAAACTGCTCGGCCAGCTCCAGCGCCTGGCAGGGACAGGGACATGGGAACAGGGACATGGGACAGGGACATGGAACAGGGACAGAGCTGCTCTGCCAGCTCCAGAGCCTGGCAGGGACAGGGACATGGGAACAGGGACATGGGACAGGGACATGGGACAGGGACATGGGACAGGGACATGGAAACACGGACAGAGCTGCTCTGCCAGCTCCAGAGCCTGGCATGGACAGGGACACGTGAGACAGGGACATGGGAACAGGGACAGAACTGCTCTGCCAGCTCCAGAGCCTGGCAGGGACAGGGACATGGGAACAGGGACATGGGACAGGGACATAGGAACAGGGACAGAGCTGCTCTGCCAGCTCCAGAGCCTGGCAGGGACAGGGACATGGGAACAGGGACATGGGACAGGGACAGGGACATGGGAGCAGGGACAGAACTGCTCGGCCAGCTCCAGCGCCTGGCAGGGACAGGGACAGGTGAGACAGGGACACAGGGGACAGGGACAGAACTGCTCTGCCAGCCCCAGAGCCTGGCACAGACAGGACAGGGGACACAGGGACAGGCACACAGGTCCCAGGTGCTGCAGGTGACCCCAGCAGGGACTGCTGCCCCCGGGTGAGCCCAGGCAGCCCCGGCTGAGGGCCCGGGTGCCCGCAGCGTCCCAGCCCCAGCCCGGTGCCGGCTCCCACCTTGTCCTCCAGGCGCTCCATCAGGGCGGGGGACAGGTGGCCCACCTTGGCCATGAGCGTCACCACGGCGCGGGTGCCGTCCAGCTCGGTCCAGCGCAGCTCCAGCTTGCGCAGCACCTCGGGCAGCAGGAGCCCGCCGGGGCCCTGCGGTGCCAGCTGCTCGGCCAGCCGCACCAGCTGCCGCAGGGGCAGGCGCCGCAGCCGCCACAGCACCTCCTGCTCCACCGAGCGCAGCGGGCGCCCGCCCCGCGCCAGCCCCAGCGCCGGCAGGCTGCACAGGAGCTGCAGCAGCGGCGCGTTCCACACCTGAGAGATCTGCAGGGGATGGGGACACAGGGACAGGTGTGACACAGGGCATGTTCCACACCTGAGACATCTGTGGGGACACGGGGGGACAGGTGTGACATGGGGATACAGGCCCTGTTCCACACCTGAGAGATCTGCGGGGACAGGGACAGGTGTGACATGGGGATACAGGGCATGTTCCACACCTGAGAGATCTGCGGGGATGGGGACAGGTGTGACATGAGGACAGGTGTGACACAGGGCATGTTCCACACCTGAGAGATCTGCAGGGAATGGGGACACAGGGACAGGGGTGTGGCAGATGTGGGACAGGGGCAGCCAGCGAGGACTTGGGGCACCTGTGCCACCTGCCAGTGTGCCCTGAGCCTGCTGGAGGGAGCTGGGCACTGCCAGCCTGTGCCACAGGTGTGCCCTGAGCGCTCAGGTACAGAGCAGAGCGGAGCAGGCAATGCAGCCCTGTCCCAGGAGCAGTGCCAGGGGTGTCCCCAGCACGGCCAGGGGTGTCCCTAGCCCTGCCAGGAGTGTCCCAAGCAATCCCCCCAGCCCTGTCCCAGCACTCCCGGGTGTGTCCCCAGCACTCCCATCCCTTTCCCAGCCCTGTCCCAGCCCTGTCCCAGCACTCCCATCCCTGTCCCAGCCCTGTCCCATCAATCCCATCCCTGTCCCAGCCCCGTCCCATCCCTGTCCCAGCACTCCCATCCCTGTCCCAGCCCCATCCCATCCCTTTCCCAGCCCTGTCCCATCAGTCCCATCCCTGTCCCATCCCTGTCCCATCCCCGTCCTATCCCTGTCCCATCAGTCCCATTCCTGTCCCAGCCCCATCCCAGCCCTGTCCCAGCACTCCCAATCCTGTCCAATCCCATCCCCATCCCTGTCCCACCCCTGTCCCATCCCATCCCCATCCCCATCCCATCCCCATCCCACCCACCTGCGTGTCCAGGGCAGCCAGCAGCTGCTGGAAGCGGGGGTCCCCGTGCAGGCCGGCGCAGTCCAGGCGCTGCTGGCGGCTGACGTGGGCCAGGCGCCCGATGGCCAGCGCCGCCACGTTGCTGCTGAGGCCGGGCCCGCGGCCCAGCTGCAGCAGCTCCTGCGCGCTGCCGGCGGCGCGGATCCGCTCCCGCAGCCGCCGCTCCTCCTCGGCCTCGGCCTCGGCCCGCGGCCCCGCGCCGGGGCTCGGGCCGGGCTCCGCGCCCAGGCCGGGGCTCCGGATGGATGCCTCGGCCGGGCCGGTGCTCAGGCCGGGCCCCGGCAGCAGCCGGAGCCGGCGGCAGCGGCGCAGCAGCTGTGCAGCCATGGCGGGGCTCAGCGCCGCATCCCGGGACGCTGCGTGGGACCGAGCGTTGGAACGGGCCCCGCCGGCACCGGCACCGGCACCGGGACCTGCCCCGCTCCCGCCGGGCCCGGCCCCCCGGTTCCCGCGGCCCTTCCCCGGCGCCGCTTCCCCTCCCCCGTGTCCCACAGCCCCGACCCCAACGCTGGCCCCGGGCCTGACCCCGATCCCGCTCCGGATCCCGATCCCAATCCCGTTCCCATCCTGATCCCGGTCCCTTTCTCATCCCCATTCCAATCCCCGATCCCAGTCCCGTTCCAATCCCCGTTCCCATCCCCATTCCCATCCCCAATCCTAATCCCGTTCCCATCCCGATCCTGGTCCCGTTCCCATTCCCATTCCAATCCCCAATCCCAATCCTGCTCCCATCCCCGTTCCCATTCCAATCCCTGTTCCCATCCCCATCCCTGTTCCCATTCCCATTCCAATCCTCATTCCCATCCCCATCCCAATTCCCATTCCCATTCCCATTCCAATCCCCAATCCCAGTCCCGTTCTCATCCCCACTCCTGTTCCCATTCCAGATCCCATTCCCAATTCCAATCATCGACCCCGTTCCCATCCCCATCCCTGTCCCTATCCCTATTCCCATCCCTGATCCTGCTCTGATCCCAATCCCAATTCCCGTTCCAATCCCTGATCCCATTCCCAATCCCCGATCCTAATCCCTGTGCCCATTCCCATTCCTGCTCCCAGTCCCAATTCCCATTCCCATCCCTGTTCCCCTTCCTATCCCCATTCCGATCCCCATCCCCATTCCAATCCCTGTTCCCGTGCCCAATCCCATTCCCATTCCCGTTCCCAATCCAATCCCCAATCCCGTTCCTGTTCCCCATTCCCATTATGCATCCCCATTCCCATTCCCCATTATCGTTCCCCAATCCTGTTCCCTGTTTCTGTTCCCCGTTCCCATTCCCGTTCCCGTTCCCGTTCCCATTCCCGTTCCCGTTCCCAATCCCCATTCCTGTTCCCATTCCCGATCCCATCCCCATTCCCATTCCCATTCCCATTCCCGTTCCCGATCCCATTCCCGTTCCCATTCCCATTCCCGTTCCCGTTCCGGTTCCCGTTCCCATTCCCATTCCCATTCCCGTTCCCGTTCCCCAATCCCGTTCCCCAATCCCGTTCCCGTTCCTATTCCCGTTCCCGTTCCCATTCCCATTCCCGTTCCCGTTCCCATCCCCGTTCCCGTTCCCGTTCCCAATCCCCGTTCCCGTTCCCAATCCCATTCCCGTTCCCAATCCCCGTTCCCGTTCCCAATCCCATTCCCGTTCCCGTTCCGGTTCCCGTTCCCGTTCCCGATCCCATTCCCGTTCCCGTTCCCGTTCCCGTTCCCATTCCCATTCCCATTCCCGTTCCCATTCCCGATCCCATTCCCATTCCCGATCCCATTCCCATTCCCGTTCCCGTTCCCGGTCCCTCTCTGACCTCTCCCGCTCGGGCCCCGCGCACGGGCCGCCGCCGAGGCGCGCACTTCTGACGTCACCAGGCCGCGCCCGCTGGCTATTGGCCGTTCGCTTACGTCATCACCCGGCGCGGCGGCGCCGCGGCCGTGACGAGCGCGCGGCCGCCATCGGGGCGGGGCGCCCCGGGATGTCCCGGAGTGTCCCCGGGGTGTCCCCAGGGTGTCCGAGAGTGTCCCCAGAGTGTCCCCAGAGTGCCCCAAAGTGTCCCCAGACTGTCCCCGGTGTCCCCGGGGTGTCCCCAGAGTGTCCCCAGAGTGCCCAAAAGTGTCCCCAGAGTGTCCCCAGAGTGCCCCAAAGTGTCCCCAGACTGTCCCCAGTGTCCCCGGGGTGTCCCAGAGTGTCCCCAAATTGTCCCCAGGGTGTCCCAAAGTGTCCCCAAAGTGTCACCAGAGTGTCCCCAGGGTGTCCCCAAAGTGTCCCCAGAGTGTCCCCAGGGTGTCCCCTGGGTGTGTCCAGAGTGTCCCCAGGGTGTCGCAAGTGTCCCCAGAGTGTCCCTCCCGGGTGTCCCCAGTGTCCCCAGTTCCTCCCAGTGTCCCCCAATTCATCCCAGTGCCCCCAGTTCCTCCCAGTGCCGCCCCCAGATGAGTAATCGATTACGGGACTCCATGGATCCCCCATCCATCCCCGGTCAGTGATCGATTACGGGGCTCCGTGGATCCCCCATCCATCCCCGGTCAGTGATCGATTACGGGACTCCATGGATCCCCCATCCATCCCCGGTCAGTGATCGATTATCGGACTCCATGGATCACTCCGTTTATTGGGATCGATGCGGATCGATGCCGCGCGGGGGGAGGGGCGTTGTCCGGGGCTCTCCTCAGCGCCGGCTGAAGTCGCCGCCTGCGGGACGGGGGCTCCGGTGTCACCCCGGGCGCGCCGGCGGCTCCCCGAGCCCCCGGGACCCCCGGGACAGCGCAGCCCACCTCCATCCGCAGCGCTCTGAGCCCGCCGGGACCCCCGAG